CTTAAGATTTTGATGAATTTGTTTATCAGGGTAACAAAAAACCAAACACAATTACCCCCCACAAAGGATAAGCAAGCATGATGGCAAAAAACTGAGCACTAATGATCCACATTGACCTGATAAAATTTGATATCAGACCTGTGTTCTGCATTCTCTTGAACACCGAGAATAGAACATCCAACCAGCATAATGGCACCTATCAAGGTTTGCAAGGACACCAAACCAAAAGGCCGAACTGAATTATAGAATTTAACATTCTAAATTTTAGAAAGGAACAGTAAAAGTGCAGGAGTCAACCAGCATGCAGCCCATTTCAGTTGTCCCCGTTGTCTCTCCACACTTTAACTTCTTATTTTTCCTTTGTTACTTTATTTTAACAGCCTTCTCTCAAACAGGTGGGCTGACAGATTTTGTTCTTGGTGCAGTGGCACTGTTACTGTCATCTAGGAACGGGACCATGGCACAATAATTTTAAAAAAAAGTATTTATTTTATATTTAATATCATTAATTTAGTTCAGTCGGTTACTGTTCTTATTGTAACTATCACCACATGATTAATAAAGTATTCTGTTCAAATGCAGGTTAAACAAAGCTAGCCTTAGAGAACAGCAGTGATCCATGATGTGCAATTTAATTAGAGCTCTCCCACTGACTGCTTACCAAGAAACTAACTAATCTCAACCCTAGTCTTCATGCAGTTACTTGCAGTGGGTATTTATGCACTGAAAACCACAAGAGTGAGAAAGGCAACTGTATAAACAGCAACCCCCTCGAGTCTAGGGATGTGCCCCCGAGACAACTGCTCTGACCACTTTCACTGCAACACTACCAAGAGTTTATGAATGAATCCCAAAGGAGAAACATTCCTTCATCCTACCAGGGAAAGCTCCAATTCCTGCCTGTGCACACCAGACAATCCATGCCATCATTGTGGTATTAAAATCACCAAGTCTTAAGTTAAGAGGCAGAGATAAGGTAGGGTTGCTTTTTTGCTTTCTAAGATCAGCATTGTTTTTAGGAAATATAGAAGGACGGTGAGCAACATAGGAGTTGCTTTGAATCACGTTAACATCTCAAAGAATAAAAATCCCTCTCAATTTCTTATTAATTGCCCCTCATAATTTTAACAGCAATGTGTTAGCTGAAATGGCACCAATATTTGCCACTTAGCAAGCTTAGAGGGTAAATGAACGTTTACCCTCAATTTTAATAGTCCAGAAATGTTTTAGAAAGATTTCCAAACGTCACTCTAAACAAGTATATTGCAGAAGGATTCGTAAGACTTCTCAACACACTGATGTTAAGTGAAAGCAAGAAATGGACATTTTAAGATTAGCTAACAGATTAGCTAACACTTAACTTCAGATTAAAGGGAGAAACTCTTCTTTCTAAATGCCTTTGTATGGACTCTGTTTGCATTTGTACTTTGGGAAATCATTAAAAAAGCTAGTCGGTGAAGCTAAGATACTGTTAAGCTACTATTACAATATATGTTTAAGTCCTTAATTTTTTCTAGAAATAACATACAGAGACAGATAACTAAGAGTCATTAAAAACACTTAACTCTTCCTGGGTTCAGTATTTCCCCAAGGGTCAGCGGTTCAACGGACTCCCAAAACAGTGGAATCAGGATGCAACTAGAACACGTCTCCCAAAATTAAAAGTAAAATAGGCTGCAGCATGCTTGGCTGAGTCACGAGCTACACTCACCAGCTTCCTCACTCCAGAACAATACATACATGCCTGTTCACTGAGCTCCTTTAAATACTTTCAGGCTCTCCCTCCCACAGGTGCAGTCACTTACCGTTCTACAATGCAGAATCTACATCATCGCCAACGCCCAATGAGCGATAACGCTGAGTTGCTTAGCAACAGAACCCATACAAAAAAAGCGGAAGCGGACGTGCTACTTGTGTCTGCGTTTACCTGGCCGTTCAAGCTTTTCGGATCTCTTGCTGACATTAGTTTTCCAGTTCAGTGTTTTCTTGTTATAGCTGTCCGTGTGATGGCTAAAATCGTGATGTGTGAGACGCTTGAGCTCTACAATATCCTCAATCAGTGCCGACGTGTGCCCAGACTCGCAGAGATCAACTACCTGTGTTTGATTGGTAAGAGAAAATCGGCCAGTACCAACATTTGTCTG